CTCTCTCTCTCTCTCTCTCTCTCTCTCTCTCTCTCACACACACACACACACACACACACACACACACACACACACACACACACACAAACACACACGCACACGCACACGCACACGCACACACCTTGACTCGTGATGGTGGGCTCACGCGGCGGTGCACCAGCACGGGGCGTCTCCGGACGAAATGCGGTGGCGGCATTGGACGGCACGTCTCCAAGTGTGAAACAGGCATGGCGGGGTTCTGTGGCGCCAGGCGGGAGGCTTCAAACCTGTGCCGACTTCAGAGCCCTGGGGGGGTGGGGGAGCGGTGTAGTCTTCCATGCGCGCCATTTGAGCCGTCCCCCAAGTTTGAATTGTGCTCAATCTTAGCCGTCGATCAACAAAGATCAGATGCTAAGATTGGCCGCTTTTTGTTTCGTTAAAGGAAGGCCCCAGTTCCTATGTTTCGTGACCCCGGCAGGGTCTGCGAGATCTAATTAGCAACACAGGCCCAAAAAAAAAGTTTCCCGCCGCCAGCAAAAATGCGCTGCAGCCAACCGCGACGGACGGACGGCCGGTCCAACACTGCAACCGGGGACCAACACTGCTGCACAACCTTTTTTTTTTTCTTTTTTTTTTTAATAACAACCTTAGTTGGTTTGAACTTTGAAATTTGAGATTTGAATGCATGCACTGCTCGGAAACTCAACCTTTGGCAGAAATGGGCTTAGCAGCTCAGTTGGTACAGCCGTGAAGTTTGCGTGAACTTATTGAAATACAGACCCGAGTCCGAATTCTGAATCCCGATGCAACAAGATTACCAGAATAAAATGATTGAATTGTCATTCTGAATTACCTGGGGCAAAGTCAGTACAATGATGATATCTCAATGCCGTCGCCCTGTTTTTTTAAAACAAAAAGAGAAACTCAACCTTCCTTTGTCCGTTTGTTGGTTTGTTCATTAGTTTGTTTGTTCGTCTTGTTTCTGCTTCTGTTTTGTTTTCTCTGGCTTTGGTTTGATCTGGTCTGGTCTGGTCTGCATTGCTTTTTTTTTGCTTTTTTTTTTTTTTGTTAACTGTCTGCTTCGCTTTGGTTTTCTATGGTTGGTTTCTTTTGAATCCTTGCTTTTGCTTTTCTTTTGTTTCATTCAGAAATTCTTGTTTTGGGCTGTGGGAGAAGAATACAGCCTGTCAGTGAAGATCTGCGGAAATTCTTGAGGCAGCTGCACATAAAGCTTGAACTCGTTGACTCGGTACGTGGAAGTTCTACGGTTCTAAACAACCTCAGACTCCTCGGACTCCAAGCAACAAAAGGGACGAAAAACAAAGAAAAAACTTCAAAAAAGTTAAAAAAACAAAAGGGACGAAAAAGAAAGGACTCTCGCTTTTGCCCCAGATGTCGACCATTTCAAATAACGTTTGTTGTGGATTCGCAAACGAGGGTGGAGAATGGCTTCGCTTAAAATGTTTCTAAGACCGCAGCCGTTCAATCTTCAAAGTTGAAACTGATGGTGGTGATTTGAGATCAAGACGATCAATGGCTGTGCTTGAAAAGTGTTCTAAGAGAAAAGGTAATAAAAATTTAAAGACCAAGGCTACAAGCCCGGACGCCGGAGCACGTCCAGGCCGTCCATGTTGTTTGTACGGATGATACGGATGAGCATCCGGCTGGATGTCCTGGCTCGGCGCAACAAAAATATGTGCCGGGCCTGGTTTCATATGTTTAGGGCCTGGGGGAGGGGTGTGTGTGTGTGTGTGTGTGTGTGTGTGTGTTGTGTGTGTGTGTGTGTGTGTGTGTGTGTGTGAGAGAGAGAGAGAGAGAGAGAGAGAGAGAGAGAGAGAGAGAGAGAGAGAGAGAGAGAGAGAGAGAGAGAGATTTGTGACTGTGAGACTTGACGACATTTGGATTCAGAGTCTTCAGACTCGACATTGGGACCGAGACATTGGACGAGGGATTATTTGGGATGTATATCGAAGACTTGGTGTTGACGACATTCCCATCTTCCCCCTCTTCTTTGTCTGATCCCCTCCTCCTCGTCTGTGTATGTTCGGGACTGGCGCATTCTTTCTGTGTGAGCGCCAGGTCCCTTCACGCCTTGCGATGATGATGATGTGTGTTGGGTCTGCATTGCGACATTTATTGGGTTGATCATTGGTATGTTAGCCTTCCACTGCGCTATCCTGTACTATGTGAGAGAGGTCGGTTCTTGTTCTGGTCTGTACCATTACGGTATGCGACAGGGAGGGAGAGAGATGTGGGGGAGCCCACATACACCTGTGTCTTTGTGTGTGGGAGAGGGCAGGGGATAGGGAGTGGAACGCACTCGCAACTGTGGCCTGGGGAGAGCATCCGGCTGGATGTCCTGGCACAGCCCAGTGCAAGTGTGTTTGTGTGAGAGAGAAAGAGAGGAAGAGAGACATGGGGGAGCGCACGTGCGCCTGTGTCTTTGTGTGTGAGAGAGGGCCAGGCAGAGGGAATGGAACACGTGCAATTTTCGTTTAAGAGAAAGAGGGGCGGGGGGGGAGCGGAGGGGATGCGCATTTGTGTGTGCCTGTGGGTGTGTGTTGTGAGAGAGCGCAGATGGGGAGTGATGCGCTTGTGCATGCGCCTGAGGGAGGCATGTGTGAGAGAGAGGGGCAGGGTGCACATGGGCGCCTGATTGTGTGTGTGTGTGAGAGAGAGAGTGGAGGGGAGTTTGTTGTGCACCTGTATGCGCACCTGAGGTAGACGTGTGTGTTTTGGTGTATGAGAGAGGGGGCACTTGTGAACACCTGCCTATGTGTGTGTATGTGACAGATTGGTGTGCACCTGTTCGCTCTCTTTTTTCTCGTCAGTTCTCTTTTCCCTCCCTTTTCTCCCCTCCCCTCTTGTCTTCTCTGATGGAGCGGCCCTAACTTTTGATGGTGTGTTTGTTGAACTTTGTTCTTATTACATCGAGTTTTCCTTTTTTATTTTTCTTCCCCTCCCCGCTTCTTCTTTTCTCTTCGACTCGTTTTTATTTTTTTGTGTACTTGGTTTTGAAATTTGAATCCCAAGAGAAAAGAACAAAAAAAACAAAAAAGAATCATGGATCCAAGTCCTTAGTCGAGCTTTCACGAACTTGGATTCAAATCTCAAACGTCCAATTCCTGTCTGTTCTCTGGAGTTCAGCATTGTCTTTTTGTACAAATTTCAAGGTTCATTGTTCGAACTTTTTTTCTTTTTTTTTTTAAACAAATGTTTTGAAAAGTTCAAAGGTAAATACTAAATAGTAAATAATAAATATTAAATACAGTGGTTACCGGGCCGGACGTCCGGGACCCCCCTGACCGTCCGGGATGTCCGACCGGACATCTGGTCGGACGTCGGACCGGACAGGGTATGTCCGACCTAGCGGAAAAAAAAAAAAAAAAAAAAAAAAAAAAATTGAAAAATTTCATGTGGCTTCCACCTTGCATTAGGTGTATGCCATCAAATTTTTGGATCATTTGGGCCAGTAGAATAAATAAGAAAAATATTTAAAGATTCATTCCCTATCTATACCCCTCCTATCCCCACCAAAACCACTTCTTCCCCCCCCTCCCCCCCCAAATACCACCCTATCAGCAAATGCTCAGAAAAATCTGATTTTTTTTGTGGGGGTTCTCTAGGCCATGCGCAACACTGTCATAATTTTTTTTTTTTTTTTTTTTTTTTTTTTTTTTTGGGTGCCAAAAAGACGCCGTCCGGAAATCCGGACGACAGGGGGGGGAGACGTCCGGTGGAGATGTCCAGTCTCCGGACCATTGGTAACCTCACACAGGCACCCCTTGTATGTTAACCCCCACTTGCCCCCTTATTTCCGTACTCGGAGTTTGAAATTTCAAATTTGAAAAGTTTGAATTTCAAAACAATTTTTTTTTTCTCCCCTTCCTGCACCACCCGCTCTCGTTCAGGATGTAATCCCTCAACCAAAAAAAAAAAGTTTATAAACTTTATATCGAGTAGAAGACAAAGTATATTTATCATGGTTACAATCCGGATGTGCAGATCGCAGTGCGGACAGTTTGGGTCTGGATGTTCGGGTCCAGTGTCTGGTCCAGAGTATCCCGATCTGTAGCCCCACCATCCCGTCCCCCCCCCAAAAAAAAAAAAAAAGAAATCCGTCTTTAAAAAGAAAAGGAAAAAAAACTCAATAAAAGATATGTTATGCAGTTACGCAGCATTGCAAGACAAACATTTTGGATGAGGACCATCTCAACATCAATAGCCGAATCCAAGGAGGGGAGGTGTGGGGGAGGGGGAGAACTTAAAAACTTATAAAAAGCTTTTTTTTTTTAAGTTTTTTTTTCCATTAAGGGGAGTGGGTCAATCCGGATGTGGCCGGGGGCAGTCCAGACAGAGGTCCGGCCTCACATCTGGATTGCTCTGGTGTGCGGATCAAGTTATTATTATTCAGGAAAAAAATAAAAATAGTAAATACGTTCAAGGTTGATATTACTTGATAATATGCCAACTGCTGGTGGTCTTTCCATATTCGTTTTCTTGTCTTGTTTATTTATATAACAGAAGAAAACTTTGAAAAAGAGGGGGGGAGAGGAGGGAGGAAGAGAGACGACAAAGTTCAACTTCGACTCATTTTTTTTCGTCGTTGATCATTCTTAGTAATTTCTTACACATAAAAGAGGGCTGTCGTTCTTCTTTTTTTTTTTTTTTTTCTAAGT